AAAATCAATTTTTCTTAGCCCTATTGACCCTATGGAAATAACTAGTCTTATTGTGAAATGTAAAGATTATTCATCTTATTATGAGGGTTTATTATCTAATACTATAATTTAAAAAACATCAGCTAATTTATCTTTACACTTGTCCATTATTTTCAATAAATGCTTTTCAACTGGGGAATTTCCTTCCAATTTTAAAAATTCAATAGTTATCCCACTTCATAAGAATGAAGATATACTAAGTTGTACCAATTATAGACCAATCACTCTAACACTGACTATCGCTAAGCTTCTCGAAAAATGTTTAAAAACCAGACTGGTTAACTTTTTAAATGAACATAATTTTTTTAATGAAAGCCAATTTGGTTTCAGAAATAACTTATTTACAAATGATGCATTATATTGTGCTACTAAATTTATATATGATAATCTTGATTTAAAAAAACATGTTGTTGGTATATTTTTAGACTTTAAAAAAGCTTTCGATTCTGTAGATCATAAATTATTATTAAAAAAACTCGAATACTGTGGGATAAGAGGAATTCTGTTAAAACTATTTGAATCCTTCATCAGTAATAGAAAACAAAAAGTTAAAATTAATAACGTTTATAGTGATGACCAATTAATTAATTATTCAGTACCTCAAGGGACTGTTCTTGGACCACTACTATTTATAGGGTCTGGATAGGGTCCCGGAAATTCCGTGATAATTATCAAAATGTTATCAGTCCCGGACAATTTTTCTTACCATTGCTCATGCGCGGGGACTTGTCTTATTTCCAACACGATTCAATAATTATGGTAATGCCGGGATCGTACAATAATTATGGTAATGCCGGGATCGTACAATAATTATGTTGAAGACCCATCCAACGGCAAATATTTTTTTTAGAAAATATAAAAACTGGATGAAAATAATACAAATCTTAAAAATGTCAAAAATACCTTATCATTAGAGATAGGATATTGACCTAAAAAAGTATAAAAAACGACTCCCAAAAAAATTCAGTTTATATTGCAGTCCAAAAATTATACTTATAAAACACTTTCTTTTAACTTAAAAACTACAGACATATTATAGTAGAAACAATACTGAATTGGATATTAGAAAGCAGCAAATATACATAAATCACATAAATTAATGAACATTCAACAATATTGACAATACCAGTTTTTTTTTGTTATAATAGTTAAATTCACACACTTGGTGTGATACCAAGTTAAACAATAATCACAACTTATAGTATTGTTAGAACATTTTTTTTGGCAAAGTGGACACAGCCATGAAGAATGACAAGATTTTTTCTGAGCCACAATTCTTTGTACTTTTGCCCATGCAGATGGTGAAAAAAATTGTTTTACCTAAAAAGTACAATTTAGTAATTTTGTGTAATTATAAAAATAAATAAAGTATGGAATACTTACTTGAAACAAATCAACCAATTCATCAATTATATTATTTGGTATGCTATTGTATTTATTCAGATCAGTGTCATTTATTTTTAAATTTGAACTTAAAGACTGGTTTATAACATCAATGGTACAAAACCATGACAATATTAATTTATTGCGTTCATTGTAGTGCAATAATTTAAAAGGTTTTTTAAGTAATACTTTTCTATTTTTTTTTAAACCAATGACTGTTTGCAGAGCTCCCTTAGGTTTTCCTCTACGTTTAGTAGTAGGAATTATAATGCTAGAAATCTCTAAAATTAAAAATTAAAAAATAAATTAATTTGTTATGACTTATAAATCATCTCATAAAGATAAGAAAAGAAAATAATACCTAAACCTGTTCCTTGTTTAACATTATGAGGTTCTACACAATGCAGTTCAGGTATCATCTAGAAAATACATTTAATACATGTTTCAAAAATTATTAAGTAGGTACTCAGCTTTATGTAATTTACCAAGCCTGGATTGTATAATAAACTTGTTGATGTGTTATGAACAGCTTCACTTAACTGAAACAAACAAAAATTACAATATAATTTTAAGTGATATTCTTTTCATTCAAATTGTTTAAACATTGCAATTTAATTATTTTACCATTTCACTGTGCTGTACCAAATTAGTAGGGGAACTATGAACAACTGTTACAGATGACTGAACCTAGAATTGACAAAGTCACAATTACACATAATATACTTAACAAATTATATAAATTAATATGTTATTTACTATATCTTGATCCAAAATTAATTTAGTAGGTGTTATATCATATTGTATGGTTTTATTACTTGACTGAATCTAAGTTAAAAAAAAAAAAAAATCAATATAATTTAAATGGATTTTAANCAATTTAATTATTTTACCATTTCACTGTGCTGTACCAAATTAGTAGGGGAACTATGAACAACTGTTACAGATGACTGAACCTAGAATTGACAAAGTCACAATTACACATAATATACTTAACAAATTATATAAATTAATATGTTATTTACTATATCTTGATCCAAAATTATTTTAGTAGGTGTCATATTATCACTGTTTTGATTCTATAAGTAAAATTTAGTCAAAATTATTTAAACTCAATTCCATATACTAATTACAATTTACCTTGTTTAATGATTCTTCTATGGGTATAACAATTATTTCTTGATGTTTTCCCCAGTGTTTAATTATGTTTTTTAAAACTTCAATTCTATTATTATATATAGAGTGTCCAACTTCAGAGGCTAATTGACACAGTTTAGTAGTAAAATTTGATGCTTCCTTGTATTTTTCAAATGCTGATTTTGGTGATTGTTTTTTCTTGAATGTTATATAACTTATACTATCTTGCCCACTGTCCGGTGAATTGATTTGTGGTTGAAATGCATTTTGGTTTTGAAGAAGATAGTTTTTGGTCCATCGAGGTAAACATAATTGTTGATCGAAAATATCTAAATTATTTAGCTGTCGTTTTTTGATGATATGGCGGCATGGCAACTTCATTGATCGAAAAAACTTACAATCACATAATGTTATAGTAACACCAATATTTTCAAGCGAATTGTTGTTCATTTTGAGACTTGCCAGATATTCTTTTTCGACATGACTAAAAGAATACTGAGTTAAAAGATCAGAATATTTTTTGATTGGAAGTATATCATTTGATATAACTGGTATTTTATGAATACTTTTTATTGCTTTATGGTCTCGTTCGGTTCTTTCAATGTGTAATTCAATAAAAAAATTAGTCAGAAATTCTTCTAGGGAACTCAGTTTTCTAATTACAGATTTTAAATTTCGATTTAATGACTCTGTTCTGTTATTTGTAAAATTTAAGAAATTATCATTTATGAATGCATCCACCCATTCATCTTTGATGGGATTCCAATTATTATTAAAATACTTCATTACTTGTGTTGGTAATAACTGTGTCATAGATTCATAAGTATTTTCATACTCCTCAATAGATTTTGAATAGGATATATTTTGGAAATATTCTTTAGTAGTTGATTCTTCACATGGAGTAATACCTAATTTATTTGTAGTAATTTCACGTTTAAAAATTTGAAATACATGAAATTTACACAATATTAATTTAGATGTTGGGAAGTGTTGCCTTAGAACGTTTCTCATGTTTTCATCTTTGTCAGTCATGAACGTCTTGATCAAAGAACTACAATTGTTTTTATTTTTAAATGTTAAAATTAACCAATCAATATATTCTTTTATTTCACCTAATAGTATTCCTACAGCTATTATTTCTGAGCTTCCAATTGAATCTTCGATAATAAATAAATACACAACACCACCAAAATTTAATAGTTTGTATGTACCATCAAGAAGCACAATTTCAGGATATGAATCAAAATTATTTTTCATGTCTGTATTTTGAAAAAATAAACCCCTAAATTCATTATTTTCCACCAAGACTTCATACTGACAATTATGTTTTTTTAATATTGGTAAGCAAGCGTTCAAATCATTTGTGTATGTTTCTTTACGTTTGGAAATATTTGTTATATCTCTCAATAATAGAGTTTTACCAGAAGTATCGGATAAATTTTTTAGAAGAAGTTTTTTGTTGGGCCTTAACGCCTGGAGATTAGTAGCTTCGTTCAAAATATTTTGGTTGAGTTTTCTTTGTTTTGGAAGATGGCTAAATGTTTTTCTAAAAGTACCAAACAAATGAATAGTTTAAATATTATTGTATTAAATAGATTAAAGGACATTTGAACTTCTTGACATAGGTAAAAATGAGTTAATAAGGTGAGATAAAAATTATTAACTGTGGCAAGTTAAGTTAATTTAATAAAAATGCTTTATGCTTTCAGTTAAAAGTTAACAAAAACAAATTTAACTCTATGTTTAAAGTTAAGATAGAAAATAAAATTAACTTAAGTTAGTTATTTTTTTTTCAAGAGTTCGAACATGTTTAGAGAATTAAAATTTGATCATTCTATGTTATTGTATTTTTGTCAGGCTTTTAGGTCTAAAAGTCACTTTTTTTTCATTGACTGGAGCCCCTCCAACCCCCTTAAGATTTATTTATTTACATTGTAGCAAACAAAATCAATGTTTAGATTGGTTAGGATTAAGTTAAAATGATAAAAATGTTAACTGAATATATAAGTTGTTAAGTTAAAAACAAAAATAATTAACAAGTAATGTCCACCTTTGCTTCTTGAATATATTATCTGTCTGGCACCAAACTAAAAAGTGTTACTTAAGATCATAGTTGATTTATAATCCAATTGATAATTACTTTGTATTAGAATTGTGGTTATGTTCTTCTGATAAACTTTTTAAAACCAAATGTTCACCATCTTTAGATATAGCAAAATAAACAAATGCATCACATTCTTGTTTGAATGTACTAAAAGAAATATATATCATATATTAATTAAAAAATAACCATATTTATAGTAGTTTAATTCTTAATTATTTGTAATATTTATTCAATAATAAAAAGGTGTGATATTTTTAATATTTTTCAACTGCTATAGTAACAATATATCAGGAGCCTTGAGTTACATTTTCAAGCTTCTTTACCCAACGAATAACATTTTATTAACATCATAGAAAAACAAACTAAAATATTGGAAACTCAATACCTATGTCCTTAAACAGTTCAAAACAAATCAAAATATTTTGAAATTTTTACTGTATTTTACCTTGTATTTTTATTTATTTTTTAACTTGTAGTATTTAATTTGAAAAACAATAAAAAATAAATTGTAACAGACGTCGAATAATTTTAAAACAAAATATTTAAACACTTTTGATCACACTCAATTAATTCATGCAAAAATAATTCAAAAATATTGCCTGCGGGTTGTGACAGTTGTCAGTTCCTATTTTATACTTACAAAGTTTTACGATCGGTCTTTTTAATTTTTTGACGAAATTTCTGTCCTCCATGAATGCAGCTATATTTTATATATGAATATTTTAATGACTTATTGATTGAAGCGAAACGTTCAGATTTCATTCTAACAGTAAAGCCGTTATAGTACACATTTAAAATTTTATAACACATGCTAATTAAGAGGTAAAACATTTTCTTTTTTTAAATTAGTACAGGTACCTACCTTTTTTCTGCCGAGTGCAATGTTCGATTGTCTCTTACCCAGTAGTCATTTAAGGATGACTGTTTATACTGAGCCATAAACACTTCAACATCGTCGTAAGAGTTAAACTTTTTACCAATATATTGGTGTGACATTGTAATTTATAATTTATAAATCAAAAAAATTAAAAATTAAACGGGACAAAAGCATAGTGATGAACTTATTAGTTATTTATAGCAACACATAAATCCATACAAATCTGAAATCATACGATAACACTATAACAGTTACTATTGTACAGTCCCGGCAGTAACATAAATATTGTACGATCCCGGCTTTACCATAATTATTGTACGATCCCGGCATTACCATAATAATTATTGAATCGTGTTGGAAATAAGACAAGTCCCCGCGCATGAGCAATGGTAAGAAAAATTGTCCGGGACTGATAACATTTTGATAATTATCACGGAATTTCCGGGACCCTATCCAGACCCATATCGATTTTGGTATTCGTCTTTAGTTTAAATAA